CTAGAGCTCAGGCTCAGTAGTTGTGGCGCACAGGCTTAGTTGCTCCATGGCATGTGGGATCTTCCCGGACCAGGGCTTGAACCCGTGTCCCCTGAATTGGCAGGCAAATTCTTAACCACTGCACCACCAGGGAAGCCCCTCTTCTGCTTTCTAATATGAGTGTTGATGTGGCAAAGTGTGAAGCCAGCCTGATTATTTGTTTGCCCTTATAAGCGACTTGATTTTGGAGGGGGGAAATGGGGGAAACTGAATGTAGAAAGCGTTCTTTATCTTTGAAGCCTAGTAATTTTACTAGAATATGTCTCAGTATGGACCATTCTATACCAGTTTTTTTCAGCAATATGGGGTTTTTTTCAATATATAGATTTAATGCTCTTCTGTAATATTTCTCTGAATTGTATTTTTAAATACTTGTTCTGTTGCCTTTGTACCACTATGTTTTCTCTTTCAGAAACTCCAGTTATGAATATGTAGATCTCCTTTGCCTGTCTTTGGTATCTATTGTTTTCTCTTTAGTCTTTCTTTCCTTTTTATTTGTTTGCATTTTATTTTACTGTATTTTATAATTTGTCTTCTCTGACCCTTACAATATTTTCAACAATGTCTGTTCTCTCTAGTCTAGTATACCTTCAGATTTCACCATATTTCTGTAATAGTATTAATTTTCCACTTCTTTCCTAGGATCTGCCAATTAATATTTTATCATCTCTTTTCTGTTGTCTTGAAACTTCTTCCGTGAATTTGTGTATCTACTTTGTGCTCTTCAAAGAGGCAACTGCATCATTTAAAAAATGTGTGGGTTATGGCTTTCATCTGTTTTGTGGCTTTTTTTTTTTAAGTAGTTTTATATCTGTTTCAGCTATCTGATAGTTTTTTTCTAATGATGAGGTTTTTATTTCTCCATCTGCCATGTGTTTTTCCTTATATTTTCTTGTACTCTCTTGTATAAAATCTCTGCCAAATTTATTTTGATTATCTGCTTTAAACAAAGTGAGGTGTTTTTTAGACCAGCTACTTGCCTAAAGTTCATAGTGGAGAGGGTTCAGGACTATGCTCCTTATGACCCAGAGAGTCTTACGTGTGACTTTAGCCTTTAACTTCTTCCCAGTCAATGGAGATAAGCAGTTGTGGTGTCTCTAGGTAAGATCTTTCCCATGTCTCTTAAATTTAAACTTTTGGGTTTTCACAGGAACAGTCTGATTCCTACAACTATGGCTTTCCTGTTCTATTTCTTTGTCTCCACTGCTTTTTGAGACCAAATCTAATCCAGGAAAGCTCCCACTTGTAGTTCAAGGACACCATTCCCGCTGTGCAAAGTGTTTCGGTGGGATCTGCCTCTCATCCAGAAGAGTCTCTTATAGGCCTTCTCTGTAATCTGCATACATGAGCAGACTCTCTCCACCTCCTTAACATGTGGTCTTAATTTCTGTTGCTGCTAGAAACCTTCTCACCTGTTTTGTAATTTGCACTTTCAGCTCTTTCTTAATTTCATTGAAGATGGGGTTTCTATTTTCATTCTTTTGTTCTTTTTGTTACTTTCAGGTGATTCTAGGAGAAAAAGGAGGCAGTGCTGACTTTAGGCTGCCATGTTCAAATAGGATGATCCTGCCATCCCATTTCTTTCATTACTTACTGCCTCAGTTTCCTCACCTTCCACTTCTGTGTAATCAATTACTCTCCTGAAATTTCTCATTTGAAGATCATACTTTGTTCAAGCCAAATTCTTAACCTCTGCAACATTTGAGTACTGCTGGTCTCCCTCTTCAGCTTGAAGCTCCCTTGTCCTTTGGGTCCATGGCATTGCACTAAGTGGATTCTTCTACTTCTCTGTCTAGTTTGTTGTTGTTGTTGTTTTTTTGGGGGGGGTCCTGTTTTTGTTATTGTTGATTTGTTTTGGAACTCTGTCCCTAGTTTTGGGTTTCTCTTAACTTCATCTCTTTTATTAAATATGAAAGGTAAACAACAAAGCTTTTAAAAAAAATTTTATTGAAGTATAGTTGATTTACAATGTGTTAATTTCTACTGTACAGCAAAGTGATTCATTTATACATATATATATATGTACATATATATACATTCTTTTTCATATCCTTTTCCGTTATGGTTTATCACAGGAGATTGAATATAGTTCCCTGTGCTATACAGTAGGACCTTGTTGTTTATCCATTGTGTATATAATAGTTTGCATCTGCTAATCCCAAACTCCCAATCCATCCCTCTTCCAGGCTCCCTCCTCCTTAGCAACTGCCAAGTCTATTCTCTATATCAGTGAGTCTGTTTCTATTTCATAGGTAAGTTCATTATAAATTCTGTATTAGAGCCCTTTTGATTTACAAGAATCTTCCACAACTCTGTGCCTAACCTGTTCATGTTCTTCATGGTGTCTTTTGATGGAAGGAATTTCTGAATTTTAATGTGTTCAAATTACTCGAACATATCCTTCATGGCTAGTGATTTTTGTGTCTTGTTTAAGAATTCTTTCCCATCCCCAATGTTATGAAAATTTCTCTAGTAATATATTACATTAAAGCTTTGTTGTTTACCATTAATAAAGGAAATTGAAGATGATTCAAAGAAATGGAAAGATATCCCATGCTCTTGGATTGGAAGGATTAACATTATTAAAATGGCCATACTACCCAAAGCAATCTACAGATTTAATGCAATCCCTATCAAATTACCCATGGCATTTTTCACAGAACTAGAAGAATTAAAAGACCCAGAATTGCCAAAGCAATCCTGAGGAAAAAGAACAAAGCAGGAGGCATAACACTCCCAGGCTTCAGACAATACTACAAAGCTACAGTAATCAAAATAGTGTGGAATTAGCACAAAAACAGACATACAGATCAATGGGACAGAATAGAGAGCCCAGAAATAAACCCACACACCTACGGTCAGTTAATCCTCGACAAAGGAAGCAAGAATATGCAATAGGAAAAATACAGTCTCTTCAGCAAGCGGTGTTGGGAAAGTTGGACAGCCACATGCAAATCAATGAAGTTAGAATACGCCCTCACACCATACACAAAAATAAACTCAAAATGGCTTAAAGACTTAAATATAAAACATAACACCATAAAACTCCTCGAAGAGAACACAGGCAAAACATTCAACATCATTCAGAGTTTATTCTATTACTGAATGACATTTGGATTATTTCATGGCTTTGGCTATTGCAAAGATTGCTGCTGTGAACATTCATATATATAAATGTGAACACACACACACACACATCCTGGTGCAAATGTGCCTGCATTTATAAAGGTTATATCAGAAAGGAATTTCTAGAAATAGAATTTCTAGGTCATAGGGTATTCATACTTTCAGCTTTAGTAGATACTGCTAAACTGTTTCCCAAAGAAAATGCATAAACTGTAGCTACCTGTTCTAAGTTGGATAAATGTCACAAACAATATTCAGCAAAAGAAGCAAGACTAAAAAAATTATATCCTGTGTGATTCCATTTATATAAAATTCATTAACAGGCAAAAATTAAACTGTATTGTCTAGGATGGATATACAGGTGGTAAATAAAGCAAGAAGATGGCAACCCAAAAGACAAGGTTGTGAGGACTCCGGGGGAAAGGCGAGGTTGTGATGGGGCAGTGATATACAGGTGTCTCCTGAGGTGCTGGCAGTGTTTTTTCTTGATTTGTGTTTTGTTACACTGGAGTTCATTTTATAATAATTTGTTAAAACATTTATGTTTTATGCATCTTTTCCTATACATGTTACATCACAATGAAAAGCCTTTAAAAATGAAACCTGAGAATTGATTTGAATGAATGCATTTAAAATACCCTTAGTCAATTCTATTTTTCCTACTTTTAGTTTAAATACAGTAGCGGGAGGATTAAAAGAGGCAAAATAACACTGGAAATAAAATGAATAACTTCTTTTAACCTAAATTCATATCTGTCTTCTTATAACGTTTGTCACCATGGTGCTCAATAAAGTAATAAAAATGCCATTTTAGCAAAAATATAAGTTTTTAAAGTAATTCTCATTTTTTTTTTCTGTGTTCCCTACTGTAGTTTAAAATTCTTTTTGGTTTGTCACATAATACTACTATGGAACAAAATCCAAAGTACTTTCCTTTGTTACATTTCCAGAATGGTGTCATCATCCTTAAAGGACAGTAATGTGTCAGTATAACAAGAATACATACATTGTTTAGACTGTTTCTTATCATTAGCAGAAGAACTGCTTTGGAGATTTTCCCTGGATTCTGACAAGTTTATGAGGAAAATAAATATGAAAATACTTAACAGCTTTGCATTTCTCTAAACTCTACTAAGAGTAATGTAATAGTAATGTCACAGGAGAAATGAAAATATACGATTTAATTAACATTACAATTCTGAGCATATTCTTATATCCATAATAAATCTGCATATATTATTATTGTTTTTTAACTCCAGAAATAGATCTAGGTTTATTCTGTTTGGCATTCTTAGTGACATCTCTTGGCATTCTTGTATCTCACACAGAAAACCCCCGGAAGGGATAGCGGGGCCACTTATAAGTGAATATGAATGTTGGGAACGTCAGTGACATTTGTATCTCTTCACTGTCCCTTCCAGTTGTGCTTTTGACTGTGGCCTGGCTACTGAAGAAACCAGGTTAGAGCTGTGGTTTTTGTGCAGGGAACAGATTCCTTGATCAGCAACACAATCTCCTCAGTTCTTTTGTCCAAAATTGGGCCCATTTCCAGTGCTACCAGTCTGGGTTTCTAAAGCCATTTAACATTAATTCAGATACGGCGGGACCTAATTTAGGCAACAGCAGTGTGAATTTTATTCTCTCTAGTTCCTTTGATGTTGATGAAGGAATGAAACAGGAAAATATAGTTCCACCAGTGCTAATTAATTTTTTCTTCTGTGTGAATTTGGGTTAGAGACAAATGAGAGTAACTGTTTTTAGGGTTATTGGAATTCTTCATCACTGTTTCTTATTTTTCTCTTTTAACTATATAATTCTGTTTTATTTTAATGCAGGTACAGCCTGACTGTTTGGACTGGAAAAAACGATAGCTATTCCACTGAAGATTTACTTTTTATTAGAGGCCATTTTGACAAAAAAAGAGTTTTCTATGACATCTTGGAACCACAAAACCATGAATTTAAACAAGCCATTGGAATCAAAATTAATCTCTAAGATGAAAATTCTGCTAAATTATTTCATGTTTTCGTTTCATAATCCTTTGCTTTGGTCTGAATTGGTTACCATATAAATTACGATGATTGATTTATGTTCCAGTTTATCCAATCAAAAAACACTTACTGAGTGCTTACTCTGTTAGGCTTATGTCCTTATAATACTGTACTTACCTAAAAGATTTGGAAAGAAGAGATTGCATTGGGCTAGTATAACAATACTTTAGGAAAATGAATCTTTAAAACTCTTTATAAAACAATTTTGGTATACTGAAGATAATTGAAAGAATCCACATGTCATACAGCTATTAAATCACATTTTGTTGGCACTAGCATTATAGAGATTTCATAAAAATATGCCATCCTCTTTCCTTTTTCCTGGAGAACTAGTTATTCAGAGACTACAGAAGAGTAAGAGGGCTTTAAAAGTGTTTTTAACTTTCACAGGGATGAGCAGCTTTCTTATAACAAGATCAAGTCTATTTAACGAAAACAATACGGATTAAATTAGATGTATCTAGAACTTCCATATTTTGGGGAGTATGCCGACGGCCGTATATGTTTTTTGTATTCTTTGTTTTGATCATAATATCTAGAGTGAGCAAAATATTATTGGAGAGCAGAATTTTAATCCTGATAATATATCATTTGATTTTCAAGTTTCTCACCAACATCACCTTGGTTCCGGTCCTTGTTCTACTACTAGAATTTCAAAAACTGGTTCCTCATGACTTCATTCCTCATACTGTACTCAAAGATACCCTGAATATTTCTGCTGGGAAAAAAAAAAAAAACTTTAAAAAAACATCTCTTTCTTTGTGCCAAATCAGAAATCTCTAGGGGATTCTTAAATTCAACTTTATTGAATTTTACTCTTTCAAGACCCTTCCTAACGTGGTCCCACTCTAAAAGTTAATTCAGTGTCCTCAGCACAGTCCTTCATTTCAAAAACAGCTACACCATCTGTAGTCTCCAGATCTTACTTTAACAGTTAATTTCAACTAATATTTTTCACTAGTTGTGTCATACATAGTAGTTATGTCTCCTCAGCTAGATTATAAAGTGCTTTATGGTAAGAGAGCATTCTTAATTGTATTTACAGTGCCTGGCGTAGTCCTGAGCAAGAGATTCAGAAAAACATGTTGCTTCTTTGATTTATTGAAAAGTGATTTACCAATGAATGTCCTAAGATATGTAATTTATCTTTTATCAACCATTTTCTCCCAGTGAATAAAGTAGTGTGATGTAGAGAAAAGAGCTTGGGTTTTGAATTCAGATAGACTTCCCTTACAGCACCACCTCTGTCCCTTAATAGCCATAGATTTGGGGAAATATTTAACCTCATTGAGTCTTGATTTCTTCATCTATTAAATGGGGGAGGGGCGCAGAGGATGAGGCTTCTCTTGTAGGGTTGTTGTGAAGGTTAAGGGAGATTCACTGAGCTTGTAGCTCAATGCTCATCACATAGCAAGTGCTCAACAGATAGTTCCCTTCTTTTAGACTTATCATGTGATCATATCCATTGTAGATAGATAGATAGCAGTAAGACATATAACATGAACATTGTATACATATAAATACTTCAAGAAAATGATCATATTTCCGCTTTAAATTTTAGCTACAACTGAATGTGGTGCTATTTGTCAACACCTAAAACTTCACTTTCTATGATTGTTTGCCAACAGCAAAAGATGCAATTTCATAATTATAAAATGTTAATAATTGCAATAAATAAAATTATAGTAAAAAGTAATGTTTACATTATAAATGTTCTAAAATGATCATGCTTTGCTTTTACAAAGAGAGCTGAATTTATAAATGAATTGCATTTTAATTAAGTTTGAAATCAAATTCATTTGTCCAGAAGATTAACTTTACTATTTTATCCTTAATAATATTTTTTAAAGTATTAGTCTTAAGGCAAAATGCCTTTATATTGAGAAATTTATCAACTAAACGTCATTTAGATTAACATTTAAAGCTATATTTTAAAGTGTTCTCAGGAATAAAAATTACATAAGAGAATTATAAAATGTATTCTGTTGAAAAGTAAATTTTTAAAAAAATATTTATTTATTATTTGGCTGCATCGGGTCTTAGTTACGGCACGCGGGATCTTCATTGCAGCATGCAGGATCTTTCGTTACGGTGTGTGGGCTCTTTGCTGCAGCGTGCAGGCTTCTTTAGTTGTGGCGTGCAGGCTCCAGAGCACACAGGCTCAGTAGTTGAGGCAAACAGGCTCTCTAGTTGTGGCGCGTGGGCTCAGTAGTTGAGCCTGTGCTCTAGAGCCCGCGAGCCACAACTACTGAAGCCCGCGCCCCACAGCTACTGAAGCCTGTGTGCCTGGAGCCCGTGCTCCGCAACGGGAGAGGCCACTGCAATGGGAGGCCCACGCACCGCAGCGAGGAGTAGCCCCCGCTCGCCACAGCTAGAGGGAGCCCGCACACAGCAACAGAGACCTAACGCAACCAAATAAATAAATAAATAAAATTAAAAAAAACTAAATAGTGACTATATAGAAAAATGCTCTATTCCTCATCTTGAAATTTAAGATGGGAGCCTACCTAATATGAGCTTACTATCTTCTTACAATCATAAATTCATGAATCAATGCAAGGAAAACTGTGTTAAAAAGGAAGATGAGAATAGTAGCGCTGAAGTACTTTCTAATCTAGAAAATGGGAGTATAATGAATTAGTGAAACCAAGAAGAGCTGATAACCAGCTCTTGGAAGAAGTGGGGCGGGATCCAGCAGCTCTTGGCACCCCAGCAGCAGGAACTCAGGGTCTTTGTTCCAGTGTCCCCCATGAGTGTCACTCTTACTCTTCACTGTGATTGCTTCTCTCTCTCCTTCGTACCTTTGGACTGCCATCCTTTGGTCCAGGGACCTTAATTTGTCCAGTCACTAGTGTCTTTCATGAGGGAGACATGTAACAGGACCTTAATTTGTCCAGTCACTTGTGTCTTTCATGAGGGAGACATGTAACAGGACTTCAGGGCTCAATAGGAACTCTGGGGGGGAGGGAAGGGGACATCTAATTAATGTCTGATAAGCTGAGGTTGTGCAAATAATTCAGAAATGATTTCTACCTCATCTTACCATCTAGTAGGGGGAGAGAGACTTGTTAACAATAAGTTGGATATTTGCTGTAACTCCTGTTACGGAACTATATACCAGGTTGTGGTGAGAGACAGCAGTATTTTCTGATTGGGAGAGAATACTTAGGTTGTGTTAAGTAAGATTCACCAGGTAGAGAGAGCAAAGGGCCTTTCAGACAGGCACGTGAGCAAAGGAACTCTTAAGTGGGAAAGAGCCTGATCTCACTTGCTCAAAAAAGTTTGTGGAGGCACTGTATTTCGAAGCTGAACATTTAGGCAGGGACCAGATTCACTTTCCAAGCTAAGGAGTTTTTTCCTTTTCTCCCAGGCTGTGGGAATCATCCCACCATTTTAAGCAGGGAAGCGTTACCAGTTTTGAGTGTTACAAAGGTGGTTCCAGTGGCATGAGAAGGAGCCTTAGAATTCTTGAAGTGAAAGGAGATGACGCCCTGAATTAAGGTGGTAACAAAAGGGGATGGGAAGGCTCAGGAAACAGAGGAAAGGTTAAGAAGGAAGAGCTTGTAAGAGTTTATAAACTAGTTGAATGGGAAGTATGGGGGAGAAGGACGAGTCTAATATACATATTTTGGGCTTTGGGTAACAGAGCGTCAGGTGGTGCTACTGACCCAAACAGGATAGAACAGAGTCCACGTGCAGCGATATTTCTCAGTGATTTGTTGACATGGCTACTCTATACCAATTTGGGAAGAAAAATGAAAACCCCATCTTCCTGCCTCTGAACTCACCTCCCATTCTGACTTCAGAAAGGATGCTCTTTAATTCTATCAGTTTCTTAAAGAACTACAGCCCCCCGCCCCCGTAACTGCGACTTTACTACATATTTTTAATTATGTCATAATTTTAAACAATGAAGGCTAC